CCCCCCCACCTCGCTGAAATGAACACTTTACCAGGCCGGAAACATTTAATCGTCTCCTTTTGAAAAAAATTAATTGAAACTTCTCCACTAGTTACCTTTTGTGTTAGCACTTAATGCAATTTTTTAAGAAAGAAGGGGGAGGAAGAGAAGGATGGGCTAGTATATTTCATTTTTAAACGCCCCTGTTTGGCTTTCAAAAAGAGAGATTTTTCTCCCTAAGAACAGGGACTGTGTTGTACCGAGGGTTTACCGAGTTTTAAACTTCGTGGATTTGTAGTTAGAACTGTTATCACAAAAAAACGGGGTAAGTAGCCCTGCAAGTTTGGGGGTTTTTTTTTTGTTGTTTTTTTTTTTTTTTTTTTAAGGAGGAAAAAATCTCCTCTGGCTCCTGTGTAGCACCCAAACCACTAACACTTCACTGCTCGCTTCCCCCCAGCTTCTGTGGGATAAATGATGCTTTATTTTCATTTACGGGGAATACTATAGATTTTGTCCCCTCGATTGCTGCGTCTCTTTCTGTGCTATTTGGGTTGAGTTATGCCTTCCCTTGCAAAGTTACTAGGAGGTGGTGATGATGGTGCTGAGAGGGGGCAGGGGAGCAACTGGAAATAATTCTTCATTACTGAAAGCTGTGATTTATTTTAGCCTAATTGTAAAGTTACTGCAAATTGCTCAAAAGCTTTTTAAAGATCCCAGTGATTAGATTTTTTCAGGGGGTGGGGGCAGCGAGGCAAGGGGGGGCAGCTGAAAGGGGAAATAACACCTCTAATCCTGCTTCTGGTAAATAGGCTGCCAGCTTTTAAAATGAGTTTCCTTTCTATTAGTCGGAATATTATGCTAAGCCTTAAGCATTAGTTTTTTTATGTTGCCATAGCAGCCCTATTCCTGCAGGGTGGTGACCTGCGATGATTACAGTACAAAGCTTATAGGGTCTTGAAACCCCCTTTGAAGATGAAAAGTCTTTGATGGTTTATATTTATGCAAATCTCTTAGATATGATTTACCCAACTGAGACTGAATGGAGAGATGATTAAAATTCCCTTTTCCTTTGATATCCATTAATGGCTGAATATTCCTTAAATTTAAAATGGATAGATATGTTTTCATCTTTATTTACAAAAATATCTTTATCATACCTGTGTGGTTTTGGTTTGGCCTTTTTTTTTTTTATCTCCCCACATCTTATTAGATCTAGATAGACATAATAGATTTACAATTTAGAGTGTGGTGTGTGTGTGTGTGTGTGTTTTTTCCTTTTGAAAAGGGGGGCAGGGGGAGGATCTGTGCAAGACCTTTTGTATGTTTCCAGATGATAGATTTTGGAATTTGGGCTACCCCACTGACAGCAGAGAGCTAGCTGTGAACTGGTCTCATGGAAAAAATTGGTGAGCTTTGGTCTTCAAAGAATTAAACTTCCTTTTTAAGGTCTTCCTAGGTAAGCTAAAAATTATGAAGAAAAACCTTTGCAAAAAAGGGTACTGGTACTCTGATGAAAAATACGAATTCCACGTGGAAAGCTGCTGAGCAGCCTCGATGTCAGTGCTGTGCTGGGCAGGAAACAAATAGAACAGGGCAGGTAGGGTAAGGCCTCATTGTTTTAGGGGCCACCACTTGCACTGAGCGAAGTGGTGGAGGCCTCTGACGTGCTATGTCTTCACGGGAAGCATTTGAACCGAAAGTCTCTCCTTCCAATTCTCACTCCTAGGCCTCGAATTGTTCCTTTAAGGGAAAAAATACATATAATACTTGGGCTTTTACTGTTTAGTTTGGTGGGAACTTTTGCTTTAGTCTTGCCTTTTTTTTTTTTTTTTTTTAATTCTATTGTGCCGCTGAAAGAGGCTGGGGTAATACTTCCTCAGGTCAAAAAGATTTAGCAAATACTACTTCTGTGTCTACGTTTCAGTGATTGTCCATTTTTCCCCCCACTAATCACCTATGACACTTTTGATTTTAGTTTTCAGACAAATTTTCATTCTACTTAAAAGGCCGAAAACTTGAACAACCAATGAATTTAATCCCTTTTGTGGAAACTGCCACGGGTTTGCTCAATTTTAAGGTAAGAAAGCCATCATGGGACTAATAAGTTGGAATTTTATTTATTCCCTAAATCGAACTTTTGTTTTCTATTTTAACATCTACTTGAAATATTTTTCTAAGAAGGTTTGTAAGCAAAAGAAACCTCAGCACCACATGTTATCTGTAATAATCCAAAAACCAGGCTGTGAAAATCTTTAAAAACAAAAAACAAAATAGCTAGCCAGTAAAAAAAATTCCAGTCTTCAATGTTTCAATGACATATTTATTGATTCCTAGCAATAATTTTAATTAATCACTGTGTGCACAGCTACTTTGAATCATTACATTTATTCTTTCGTATAATTGCCTTTTCATGGGAGAATTTCCTGACCTCTCTGTGACAATATGATATCGTCTGGCAGAAAAAGATTGCCATTTGCAAATTAGTATGCACAGATAATTTGTTGTATACTATAAGGAACAATGTTATTTCGATTTTCCATACCCAAACATAAAATATTGTCTGATAGGCTTTCAGGAAGATGAGTTTTCATCCACTGTGTGGATGCCTGAAAACTGTTCGCCTTAGAATACACAGCCAACTCGTCCTTCCCCCTTGATCAGGTACCTTCACATTTTTTCCAAAATGTGCCTCACCTTCCACCTGACCTATGAGCATCAACGTGACTCCCCTAAAAGCAAACCAAAAAGAGAGTCGGATTGCACTGGAGAGATAATAGGAGCAGATGCTCCGAAGGAAACTTGGAGACCTCTGGGCCAGCCAGAGTGCAAATGTTTGGGGCACTGCTCAGCCCTGGTGATGAACGTGCTCACATACCAGCCACACGCTCTCCCGGCCTGGCCCAGAATTCTCAGAACGTGAGCATCGTGCGTGCCGTACATGCAACTAGATCTATACAGCAATAGAACCTCTGGCACTCTTTGGCCATTTTATCCCATAACGTTCTTAGAAATACTTGCACCCCCGAACTGATTCAACAGTGCCCTTACCTATTTCCCATGCCCGCCCCCACATCATGCTGCCTCTTCGCCTTTGTCCAGTCTCACTGACATCTGGAACTGATGCTGTTCGTCTTTATTTTCACAGAGAAATGTCCAAGTTGCATATTAATACATCTTGGCTGACTTGTTTCATTTTTATTTTCCCCTCTGGACTTCTAGGTTTTTGTACTATATGCTTTCAATCCTGAAACCATTTACCAAGAAACCTCGATCATAACACAAATAATCCAATTAGTTTGATTTAAAAATTCTTTCCTTCTCTCCTGTGGTTTTCCTTTTTTTTTTTTTACTTGAGAGTTTCTGAAAGCAAAAACAAATTTTGGAGAACAATAAATAACTTCCAGTACAATCAAAAAGAGTTGACTCAACGTTTCTCTAGAAATGGCTCGAACACCGATTTGAACTTGAAAATTCATAAAATCCATTCAGCAAAACAAATATATACAGTGAATTTGGGCTGCATTGTTAGGACAGCTTCCAGCCAAACCGTTAGGAGTTGGAGCCCTTCGGTTACTAAAAAACACCCTGTGACTTCTCATGCGTGCGTATCTGTGAGATTTGGTTCTGTTCTGCTCTTTTACAGGCAGTATGTGAAGAAGCAGTGAAGACCGGACCTCCAGCAGGTCTTTTTCTAGATGCAGTTGTTTTTGGAGGAGAAGACTTCCGAGCCAGCATAGGTGTCAAAGACACACCTCTCCCTCTCTCACCCCTCCTTCTCACCCCTCTCCTCCTCGCTGTCATATATGTGTGTATATTTTTCTATGCCTCTTCACAAATACACATTTACATGACAATGTATATTTGTCAACCCTGACAATGGTGTTTCAACTCAGTGGGCAGCCCTTCCTATCGTCCAGGGCTCCTCCCAGCTTTCCTGCGTCCTCAGCCTCATAGTGCACCTTCTGCTCACGTATGGGATAACCAAGAAAAAGCCTGTTGCAACCTCAGACATATTGAGCAACATCCGGCATCTACTTTCTTCGTAATAAGTCTAACATGTGGGCTCCCTCTCTGTTGAGTCAATACTCTGTGTTCATGTCATAGTGCTGTTTGGGCCTGTGACTCAGACGTGAGGCCATTTCACATCCACTCGAGTCATTTGCTACCGTAAATGTTGTAGGTGACTATTTAAAATAGGGCTGAAACGACATATCCCAACTCTTCTTTATGTGAAATATTTACTGGGCTGTCTGCTCTTATCTTCCCCATCCCGTGGCCCTTGAGACTGTGGCTGCATCTAGCAGAGAGCCAAGAGCACAGAGCTTTTACAGAACCCCCTTCCCGGGGACCTGAGCAGTGAGTGGCGGTGCAGATAGAAACGAGACACCCCCTCCCCGGGCAAAGGCAGGAATTGATTTCCTGGGGTCTTTCCAGGAGACTTCGGTGTAGCCCTTCAGTGAGCACTCCCCACCTCTCTCAGCAGCGGCGCCCAGATTTCTGCAGGGTCCACCTCCAAGCCCGAAGCTGCAGCCCCTGGCTCAGGCAGGCGCTGTCTGAACTGGACAGGGCAGCTCAGCTAGAGCACAGGAGCTCCCTGTGCTGCAGGGCTTAACCCCTTCCTTGCACAGCTGATAGTTGCCTTGCGGTGCTGTCTCTGCACTGACACTTTTCTAACACAGCGAGGGAGGGAAGGAAACGATATGCCCAGCGTCCTTTGTCACCAGGTGCCATTTGTGATTCTGTCTCCTGAAGGAAGAGGGGTCTTTCTTGATACACCCCCAAGAAATTATCTGGGAAGGGACAGACAGCCCAGCCTTGGTTTCTTTAGCTGTGCTCCACACGCCTGCATGCTTTTCCCGGCGTCACCACTCTGCCGGGAAACAGTTCCCAGGAAGGCCTCAGTGTCTTCACAGACTGTATGCTTTGAAGACATAGCTGGGTTCAGTTTCCAAAGTGAGCCTCTCCTTTTGTGTCCACACCCCTGTTGCAGGTGCAACAAGTAGCAAAGGAGGTCAGGACATCCTCTACGCCAGGCAGAAGATCGTGGTGGTAGCGAAGGCCTTCGGCCTGCAGGCAGTCGACCTGGTGTACATCGACTTCCGGGACGAAGAGGGCCTACTCAGGCAGTCGAGAGAAGGTGCCGCCATGGGGTTCACTGGTAGGACTCTTCCCGCTATCCCACGGAGCAGGGACATTCCAGAAAACTGGAAATTCACCAGAAAGGGCCGTTTCTCCTGTCGCAGGAGCCTCATAGACTCATCCCACCATTTGAAACCCAAAAAAGCCACCCAGAGCAAGAAGCTGCCAAGCAAATAGGTTCTCAAAGCCAGAAACAAATCCCATATTGCGTTTCCTCTTTGCGACGTTATCTTTCCTTCCTGCCCATTCAGTACTTTGTTCTAGCTCTTGCTGACCCAGCAGAAGGGAAGAGGCCACTATGGAAATGTTTTGCGTGAGGCCACTATGGAAATGTTTTGCGTGAACTGCCATAAGCATTTAGGCTGATGGGGAGAAGAAAAATTTCTGGAAGTACTCAAATTATTCATTTATTGACACCCCCCCCCCAAAATTGGTGGTTTCTCTCTTCACTGATAACTAGCTTTTTATTCCGCGGGCACGCTGAGCCTCCCCCCCCCGCCCCCAACCCCTTTCTCTCCCACCCTCAGTAAGCGTCTGTGCACCTGGAGAAACCTGAGGGCATGGGCTGGAGTTAAGAGCAGCCGGCCCCTTGTAGCCCCATTGCAGTCCCGTCCTGGGGCACAAGCGGATATCTGTTGATTGGTGTGCCCTATCACTCATCTCCCCGGGAGCGGGGGGGGGGGGGGGGGCGGGGGGAGGCAACTGAAAACGTGTTTTTGCAACAGAAATCTGTTTTTTTGAAAACCGACAATAAGCATCTGTACACAGGCACAGTGGTGAACGCGTGTGCGCGCGGCCGGTTTAGAAAGCTCCTCTTCTTCCCTTTCTGCTGCTGCCAGGCCAAGAATATCATTATCAGGAACATACTCCGAGAACAGGAACGAGACAGGCTTCCCTGCCCAAACTCTCGTGCGCAGTCCGAGACCGTCCAGCTAGGGGTACTGAAAGAATCGTTTCATCAAGTCCCCTTCGTGCAAGAGATAGCAGAGGGGACGGACGATGCTCTCACGAAACAAAAAGGAAAGACGCGAGAAATAATGTTCAGCGTTGTGCCCAGACTCCATAAAGCATCGACTGTTGCTTTTGTGTTTCTGACATAGTAGAAAGAATCAGAAGGAGATTCCCCCAAATTTGTAAAGAAATAAATGAGATCTTCTACAGAGAAGCAGTTTTCACTCATCTGAACTACTAATGAGTCCTCCCTGAACTCAGCAGTGACGGGATGGACGGGCCCCTGACGCCGTTTCTCGCAACCCCTTCACCCCCTGACCGTTACACCGGCCTCCTTCCCACTGGAGAAGCCGGAGAAAAACTCCATGAAATCTATCTAATAGGCCCCGATATTGTTGGTCTGAAGTGGGTGGCATCACCTGCCAAGCAGCGAGATGTTGTTCTAAATCATGGGCACGAATTCAGTCAAAAGTGGAAAACAGGGAGTCTGCTGACCTCTGTGAGCATAGCTCACCAGAACCCAGGCGTCCTCAGCGTCCTCAGGGAACGGGTTGGCTCCAGAACGCGAAAGGGAGTTTGACAGTTTCTCCAAGATACAGGACCGAATTAAGGGGGTCCCATAATTCAATCACTGAAGACAAGTTATTTCAAATCAGATTTAAATTTCTAGACTGTGCCCAGCTCAGCATGAGGAGCTTATGGTCTTGGCACCATTGTCTCTCAACAACAGGGAGTATTAAGTCACAAAAAATGGAAGCAGGGGGAGAACGGGGAGGCGCTCAGGGCACAGTGCCCCTTCAATGCTCAAGTCAGCAAAGGGGGAGCTACACTCTTAGCTCCTAGCCACTTTGTGATTTTCAGAGAGTAGGTCTCCGTTTCCCCCCTTGTATATTACAATACTCACTAAAGGTAATTAGTCTGATGACAAGATAGGAGATTATTTGTAGTATTTTTTAATAGATGCTTTAATGAGTATTGTAGACCACACATGATCTGTTTGTCCTAATTATTTGTCATTTCATGGCCATACTCTGGGCTGTGGACAAGAAGGGAGAAAAGGATGGAGAGGAAAAGAGGAAGGGAAGAGAGAGGGGAGGGGGAGAAATGGAGAAAGGCACACTCCATCCAAAGTAGGTGGTTGAAGGTTTAAAATCTAATGCAAGTGTGTTGTCCATGACACTGGTGTGGAGACTCAGTCTGGGCTACCAGAATGTTCTGTACTTTTAAAAATTCGATATATTTTTAGTACGTGGCAGTTTTTTAAAGCTAGTCAGGCGTCCGACAGTGGGTTGTAGATTCGGTTCTGTTTCACACAACAGAAGCATTGTTTCACAGGCTACAATCCATGTAGATCAATTTTAAATCAATGCATTGGCTGTATGAACAGCTATTAACTTTAGGAATTATTTTTATAAAGAGAAACCAAAAATAAATCTTGGAAGAAAGCTTTAACAGCTGACTCAGTCATCACAGTTCCTTCAAGGCTGCATGCTGAGGAGGATTATAAATATGAAGCGCTATAGGTTTTCTTCTTTTTTGCAGTCTTTTGTAGAAGACAAAAATGACACCATCATACAGTTACCTAAAAGACTTGACAGGTATTGATTTAAAGCACGATATATCAAGTGGTACTGTAAAAAGGATTTCATGGTCATAAATTTTAATGTCTTCCAATTTTGCACCCTCTCAGTAACTTGTCAATAACAACTCTTCTGTATAAAATATTTGCTCCAATTCCACATGGCAATGAGGTCTGGTGTTCAGTTGCTGGGATGTGTAAGATGTGACAAAAGACAACTGCACAGACGGATGTTCAGAAATTTCTAGACCTAGTGCATAGCTTAGAATCAGCCTCGTTATCGAAACAGGGATACTTGAAAGCCATCCATTGGTCAGAGTGTTTTAAATTGTTTGCTCCTCAAATGATAATGTCCATATCAAGAAGTTCCCGTGAAATCTGGCTTTTTTCACAACGGTGTAAATTATGTACATAAATTAGAAAATTCAGAACTAACAATTAGGAGGAAATGACACCAGGACACCCTTTATTAATAATACCGTACCAATGATTGGATTACTTAAATATCCTCTCACTGCCTACTCTCCAAAAAAACTCTTGCTTGTTACCACTGATGTTATTTGTTCCCAGAGCCGATTCCCCAAATAATCTGAAGCATCTCTATCTGTATAGGTTTTTAATGTGTGCTGCTAAGATAATGCAGTAGTGATGGGCGGGTGTTTCCTTACACCACTGTCAAGGAAAAATAGTGTTATGTTTACCCACTTAAACTGTTTTGTACTGAAAACATTTTTTGAGAGTGTTCTTTTTTCTATTCAATAAGACTAGTAATGACAGCAACAGGAACGGACATTTTATAAAACATCAGGATATTCTTTGTATAGGCTAAATGTTAACACAACTATTTCAAAACCAAAGCAAATTGACCTACCAACAAATACATTTAGCCAAGTAAATTTTCATTAAGTGTTCATTCATTTTTAAAGATCCAAATATGTCCATAATTTTATCATGTAATAAAATATAATTTCATTGTGATCATAACATTAAATTATATTGCATTTTGTTAATGGACTGACTAGATTCTGCTCTCCCTGGTTGATTTTTTAAGATTCTTAGAATCCTATGACTTTTATCTTTATATAATGTTTTAGTTTAGATTTCTAAGCTCTAAAAGAAGGTAGAAAGGTTTGTTAAAACTATTGCTATACAGAAGAGATTTCTTCTGGGATGTCTAGATATATTTCTAAGGAGGAAATATGCAGTCTTCATTCTATAAGAAAAAAGGAAAATTTTGGTTATGTTTGTTGACAGAGAATGTTTAAATGTTTAAAATTTCTTTAAACATTTTAACATGCAGTATTCCAGAGGCCACAATATTCAAATCTCCCTTCTATTTTCCTGTAGTGAAGACAGTTTTTTCATTGAAATCCATGTTTTAATAGGGGTTAGAAAATGACACACAATATTCATTTAAAAGACAGAAAATTAAATTAATTGTTGTAAGCCATAATGTGATATTAATACAGTTGTAACTCTGCTGTGGTGAGCTTGATGAAAACCACAGACCACTGATAAAAGGAATCATGAAAAAAGGGGATAATGGCCCCATATAAGTAAAGGAGGTCTTCTAAAAGTTGAATTAACATTTCATTTTCTCCTGCTTTAACACAAAATAATCACTGATTTACAGACATTACCCTTTAAAGTTCCAGCCAAAGCACTCATTCAGGAGTTGTCTGTTTCATCCACCTGTAACTAGAAATGAGGGATTATCTGCTGGAAGGTGGCATTTCTATAGGATCGGAAATACAATTACTCCCATTGTTGTATTTGTTCTTATGTGGCATTCGGGGGGATGCCTGCCCGATTGTGGGTTTTTTTTTTCCTTTTTAAAATAGTTCTAAAATAATGAGTTATTTTACATACAGTCTGTGAGGCACTCAGGAGCCTGGCAGGGCCGAGACATTTTGTTTGAACATCTGTCTGTTGTTTTGTTTCTGGTGTTACTAATCTAGGTAAGCAGGTGATCCACCCAAACCAAATTGCAGTGGTCCAGGCCCAGTTTACTCCTTCCCCTGAAAAAATTAAGTGGGCTGAAGAACTGATTGCTGCCTTTAAAGAACATCAGCACTTAGGAAAGGTAAATGTTTTGTTAATGCCTTGGGTCAAAGTTGGTGTTTAAAAGAACCGCGGGATGGACGGGAAAAATATTGTTTGAATGGTTCTTAGAAACACATTGTTTTGGGAGGGTCGGGGGGTGGGAGCGAGGGGGAGGCATGAGGACATCACATTCACCGGTGTGAAATTAGCTGAAGGTCAAGGTGCCCTTCTACCTTCCTTCCTATTTCACAAACTGCCTCCCATGTCTCATTCTAGTCTTTATATAAACTATCTCGGAGGCCTTGGAGAAAATCAAATAAGTCTGTTTTGTTTTTCTCTATAGACTGATGAAAATAAGATTCATATGAAAATAATTTTAGTTCAAAGTGAGCAAGTGGTAAAGAAATAAACACAGTTTGATCAAATGGTTCTTGTCGCGAGATGAAATAAATTTCCAGTTATTTTAATTTGGGGCGGGGGGGGGGAAGTCCAGACGTCTCCTCGGGTTTTAGTCGTGTCAGAGTGGGAGGTTGTAGATGCGTTTGCACCCATCTCTGGACCCGAGATTTGGATAGAATGGAAAGCAAATTAACACACTGGAGTTGTTCCTAATTTAGTGCATCATTGAGCCGCGCGCTTCCTGCTCTGTGGGTTTCTGCTATGTAAATATTGCGGCAGCGATGCGCAATCTGTCTCCACTTTGTGCCAGTAACACTTAAATTAGGTGTCGCCTGAAGGAAGATTTTATGCTGGTTACAGCATTGTCAGCTAATTATCTTAAAGGTTATTTGCAATAATACCGTTTGCCTCTTTTTAAGGGAGTGGAGGAAAGTTGCATTTATAAATCTATCCTGAAGGTACTATCTGAACTTGGCCTCGTTACTTCCATAAAGAGTGAAGTTTCGATGCCCCCAATGCAAAATCACTGAGGGGAGGAAGAATGTCAAAGGTTCTAAATGTTAAACAATCCCCCCACACACAAAAAAGGAGTGGGGGAGGGAGAGCAAAACGGGCTTTCAGGAGAGAACCAGTGACATCAGTCTGAACAGTCTCGCACTGTCGCTGGCTGTAAAAGTCACCTGAAAAATCCCAGGATTTTGCAAAAGTGGCGAACAGTATGAGAGAAGTCTCTCCCTTGCTCCTTCTGGGACCCCTGCCTTCGACTCTAACCCACACGCAGCTCACTGTCCACGCAGGCCTGCACTGGGGCTCAAAACACAGAATATGTGACCTTGGAGTGTCCTTGGGACGTGGCACCCATTTCAGATAAAGTAGCCTCCTTTCTCCTCAGATCCAGAGAGGCCACCGGAAAAACAGTGCATGTCACAGAAAAAGAGTTTTGTGTCGACCTGGCATTTTATGTCCGTTTCTACATCTTGGCCCAGAAGTCCCGATTCTTCATGAATCAACACCAGCATTTACCTGCAGAGAAGTGCCCTGTCCTTTTTCATCCATCCTTGCAAATAACTCCATCCATACCCTCGCTTGCCTGTGCACACACTCACAGGCCTCCCTGTGCACTATCTGCCGGCTGAGGTGGTGTGTGATAAATGCTTCTGACTCAGATGATAAACTGAGGCAGACTGGGGCCATCCACGGGCAGCTGGGCAAGCCTCCGCCACTGCCCCTTCAACCGCTCTCCACATCGGATATGTGTCAGGATGTCAGTGGGCACTGGAAACCACTCGGGGGTGTGGGTGAGGTCACCCTGAATTTGAGTAGCAAGTAGACAAAATCCAAACTAGAAACACACTCTTTGGTTGGCTTCTAAGTGATTGAGTGAGAAAAACAATACTTTCCCATTGTATCTTGAAAATGCTATTTCCAGGGAAAATTACCCCAAGGCGTCCTTGGATTTGTATGATGGCAACTTCAGTGTTAAGTTCTGTTTTTTTTTTTTTTTTTTTTTTTTTTTTGCTGCTGTGTTACTTTAATAAGAAATGGCCTCTTGTTTGGCATAAGCTTTCACACCAGTGTAGCGGGGCAGCTTTTCTTAACCCAGAATCACAGAAATTGGAGCGGAAGGGACGTGAACCATTAGGTCATTTCTTCCCTGCCCAGTTGCTGGAGGTTTGTTTCCTCCTGCACATTCTCCTGGTGCTTTGTCCAGCAAGGTTTAAATGAGTCAAGCAATGGGGCTTCCAGTGGGGACATATGGTTATTTTATCCAGTTCGTATGTGCCTTTTACTTTGCCTATAAATTGACTGGTCACAAAAAATTGGGTCTGCAGGTAGGTGACTCTGAATTTGGAGGGGTCTTGGGGTTTAAATAATGTGGGTTCTGCTTGTAAAGATTTAGTATAAATAGGTTGCTCAGTAGTATAAAGTATTGCTCCCAACAAATATCTAATCTGTTTTATTTCAAATGCGAGTCACTGATGGAAACAAACGTTGGCTACTTTGCCCACCATACAGGTGACTCTCAAAGATGGGAAGCAGACAGTGTCTTGGGGAGACACTGGTAAATTTCTAAAAGACCTCCCTCCTACCCCCCCCCCATGAGAATTTTATCCAAGGAATGCCGTTAAGTAGAAATTACCCAAAAAGACAAACGTAGATATCTTTGCTTTTCTTCCTGCTCCCATTTTAAGTGATACCCTTCCCGGAGACCAAAGATACAGCTGAGGTTCACGGTCAGTGCTGGACAGTCTGTTCTGTAGCACTGCTGTTCTCTCTGTGATTGTTATGGAAGAATAAAAGTCCTGCTTTTCCTTCCTGTCCCCTCCAAATAAGGAAATTCATGGGAATACTTAGATCACACACCAGTAAATTACTAGGGCTCCAACTTTGTCATCACAGGAAATTTTTGTTCTTATATTAATTATAAATCCTAAGGAAAATTGAGGTTCATTTAATACTGACTGAAAAATACTTAATACTTTACAGAATGATCTGTTCACATAATCTGTGACCATTTGAAAGGTGGATATGTGTGGCTGCTTTCTTTTAGGAAACTAAAAATATTTTCAGGCTTAAGGACTTTGCCTAGCGCAGAAGTCCCCACTAATAAGAATTGGGTACGTAGACTACCCTTGCAGTCTCTAAGTGATCTGCTTTTATTAAAATCTGTTGGGAAGGTTTTAAACATTCCACATACTCTGTGCACCTATTTTCATCCCCATGAGTTAAAATCTTTGTAAATGACATCCAGTATGAGGTGTATATCAAACTTGACTACTTATTGTACCCTTTCAGAAAAACATTTATTGGGATACAACTTCATGGCATTAATTATTTTAACTTTGAATTACTTGGTAAAATACTTTAGCCATTAGAAATCACATCTATGTGATTTGTTTTAAATTGAAAGGATTTTCTTAAAAGTTATTTCTTTTCAATGCTGTTTTTCATACTGGTGACTCCAGTGATACTTGAAAATTCTCCATTCAGAACTGAATTTAGTATTGCTCATTTTTAAAATAGGATTTTAACAGTTCTGCTTTTATCAAATGAAAATTATATGTAGTATGAAAACTGGATACTGAAATGAAAACACCTCAAGTAAATAACCAGTTACTATTAGTTGAATTCAACAAAATTTATGATTTTGTAAGTACATAAAGCATACATACTTGCACAAAATATAAGCATTCACGTGTCTCTAATGGTATATATTTTTCATATATTATGAACACAGCTCTAAGTTATTTCTCTTACTTCTTGGGCAAAAATGAGCACCAAAGGAAGTAGCTGCTTTTTTAAAAGGGTTGATAATCCCAGGAGTCTTAACATAAAATTTTACCATTTCTTTCCAAATCACTTTATCATGACTTATATTTTCCTGACTGTGCCAGAAAAAATCTAGAATAGCACAGTGTACACATGCCATAGATTTTTAAAGGTGCTTTGCTAGAAGTGGCCATATTTGTGTAGTGTCTGGCTAGAGAGGGCTTGCTTCGGGTTCAGCTTCCCAGCGCCCACCCGTTTGACTCATAGCATTGCTGTGTTTGATTTGCGTCTGAAAGGATTTCACTTTTTCACTATCTTCCCTTCCACTGTCGCTTCACAAACTGGCTAAAAACCAAGGATGAGGAAGTGTCCATCTTTGAAATCTAGATTCAGTTCACAACTAACAAAGGTCAGACCAAGGTCACTACCTGACATAACTGTCACATCGCCCGCCTGAAACATTCTAATTCCACTCATGAGAGAGTAATAATGCAAAGTCCTAAGTTCACGTTAGCCCGCGAATTCTCTACTGTCAAATAAATTAGGATTTCATATCTTACTAAGGAAAGAAAAAAATCATTGTATCTCCTCACATAAGTCTTTTCATCTAGAAAATGAAAAGTGTGGTACCGACCCCCCGAGCCCCCAAATAATGAAAGCAAATTATTTTCATAGGTATCTGATTGCCACGCACACACCTTTCATCTGTGTTTCCAAATGTAAGGCTTTACAAAAGAAGTACTGTTTGGTCCAGATGGCCTTCTAGAAGGCTCCCTGAGAGAACTCAGAAATCTCTGCAGCCAAAAAATATTGTTTCCGCTTATTCAAGTGCCAGAAATCCCACTGTCACTCTTTCACGCAGATCAAATAACCCATCGCAAGATTTGGTTGTTGTCTTCGTCAACCGAAAGGGTTGATTCCACTAATAGACAACACTGTAACCCCTGCACCCATGCATGCCACCTCCCACAGCGCCCCCCTTTATTAATAAGCGGGAATATGAAAATCATCGGCGAGCAATTTCTAGGGGAAATGAAAGGAAGACACCAGTCTCACTTCTGAGAGTCTTAACCATGCTGCTTCCGCTTCATGGCCTCGTTCACGTAATGTTTTTTGAACGCTGCCATAATTTTAACTTCAACAAGGCAAAGTCTTAGAAAAGCTGAGAGTCGGCTCATGTCACCTTCAGGTTCATTTGATTAAGCACAAGTTGCAGATATTTAAACACGGAAGTCCAGGCGGTATACTCTACCGGTGGCTGTACTCCCTTTCTCCGTGTTAATGGCAAGCGGCTGGTTCACTACTAGAAAATCAGATCCCATGTATGCGGGTTAAACATGACAAATTTTAAAGCTGTTTGCTCTGTCCTTA